CCCAGGACCCCAGGATCATGACCCGAGCCGAAGGCAGTCCCTTAACGACTGAGCCACCCAAGCGCCCCAGGAATGTCATTTTTAATACACATTTGCAAAAGTTTGCTTAAAGTTGGGCCCCCTTTTTAAAAAATTCCAGTACAGTTAACAGTGTTATATTAGTTTTAGGTATATGACATAAGGATTCAACAATTCTATCCGTAACCCAGTGTTCATCAGAATAAGTGTACTCTTAATCCCCATCACCTGTTTACCCTCTCCCCTCTGGTAACCACCATTTATTCTGTATAGTTAAGAGTCTGTTTTTGGGGCACCTGGGTGGCTCAGTTGGTTAAGTGACTGCCTTCAGCTCAGGTCATGATCCCGGAGTCCTGGGATCGAGTCCCACATTGGGCTCCCGGCTCAGCGGGGAGCCTGCTTCTGCCTCTGACCCTCTCCCCTCTCATGCTGTTTCTCTCTCGCTCACTCTCAAATAAAATCTTAAAAAAAAAAAAAGTCTGTTTTTGGTTTGTCTCTTTTTTTTCTTTGCTCTTTTGTTTCTTAAATTCCACGTATGAGTGAAATCATATGATATTTGTCTTTCTCTGACTTATTTTACTTAGCATTATGTTCTCTAGCTCCATCCATGTTGTTGCAAATGGCAAGGTTTCCTTCTTTTTTATGGCTGAGTAATATTCCATTATGTATTACTACATCTTTATGCGTTCATCTATCAGTGGACATTTGGGCCATTTCTATATCTTGGCTATTGTAATCTGCTGTAAACATAGGGGTCAATATATCTTTTTGAATTAGTGCTTTCATATTCTTTGGGTAAATAGCCAGTAGCAGAATTACTGGATCATATGGTAATTCTGTTTTTTTAATTTTTTTTTTTTTATTGTTTGGCAATTCTGTTTTTATTTTTATTTTTTTTAGAAAGAGAGCGCAAGATGGGGGCGGGGAGGGGCAGAGGGAGAGGGAAAATCTTTTTATTTTTTATTTATTTTTTTTGGTGGACAGCAAAGCAAGGTTTATTGAGCAATAGCAAAGTGACAGTACAGAGCTCCCAAGGAGAGAGGGGACCCAAAGGAGTTGCCAGAGAGGGAAAGTCTTAAGTAGGCTCCACACTTAGCACAGAGCCTGATGCAAGGCTCGATCTCACAACCTTGAGATCATGACCTGAGTGGAAATCAAGAGTTGGACACTTAACTGACTGAGCCATCCAGGCACCCCAGTGGTAATTCTATTTTTAATTTTTTGAGGAAACTCCATACTGTTTTCCACAGTGGCTGCAGCAGTTTGCATTCCCACAAGTTGGGTCCCTTTTTAATATAGTATGTGGCATATTTAAAAACCTTTTACTTAATAAAAGCTGTCAACAAGAAAAGTTCTTCTGTACAAACAATTAATTTGTATTATCCTAACTTCTAGAAAAGAAGCTATTTTAAGATCCTGATGTGTATGTGTTCTGACACTAGAGAAAAACGATTGTGCAGATACGCAGATAAACCTACATTCCAGCCTGAGTGTGTTTTGTTCCCTGTAGGTTGGAAATCCACGTGTAGAACTTACCCTCTCCGAGCTCCAAGATATGGCAGCTAGGCAACAACAGCAAATTGAAAATCAGCAGCAAATGTTGGTTGCCAAGGTGAGTTATAAAAGCAGAGGTGGGAAAATGTTCAAAAAGGGTGTTCTTTAATGGTTATTTTAGATTGGAGTTACTGCATTCATGAGTACCATTTGTAAGTAGGACCATGTCATGGGAAGTGTTGAACACAGTGTCTTTCTGGTAAATGAATACTGTAGCTTCTTAAAGTTGGGAAGGGGTCAGAGCAAGACCCTTCACATGCACATTCAGACACTCCAGAATAGGAAATGGTTGACCTTCGTTCGCCAACTGGAGATAAAATTTGGATGAAGACACTGGTCATGGGCCCCTGAGACAATGACAGTTGGTTATCCAGGCTTCCCTTTGTGCCACTCTACACAGAGTTTGTTTGGTTTCTTACAATGCCGGGCAGTTAATGCTTTTTATATACACCGAGTTCTGCATTTGTCATTGAAATGCTGTAACAAGATTTGACATTTTTCTTGTCACAGACTGAAAAAAATCAGACCTATCACTCATGTGTGCTGGAGAATATTCATGTTGTAATGATCTCGAATGTTATGAAACTGCTATGAAAAACTGCGATATAAAGAGAACATGTAAACATTTCTGCCTGGGTTCTTGTTGCTTTCTCATAGAGAGATTGACCTGATAGCCAAATGTCCAACCCCACTTTTCTCACTATCAAGGGGCCATATAATTCATGGTACTAGCCGCCACTTTGTGGGTATGTAACAGCATAAATTGGACTTGTTTTTAGAAGTTGTCTTGCGAAGTTTATTGGATTTACAAGAATAAAAAATAAGAGTTAAGTAATTGGGAAGTATTTCCTCCCATTAATGAGATTTCTAAGATGAAATGTACATAGTATTATGCAATTATAGCATTTTCTAGTTCGGCTTTTTATTTCCTTTCCAAATATTGATCCAAGAGTATTACTAATAAAAAGATTCTTGGGTATTTTTAGCAGTGTAAATTACAAGTTAATGCTAACACATATGCTTTACATATTCAAGTGCATGTTTCCTGACTTTAGAATGCAACATGTGACTCCTGCATCATCACATTTAGTCTCCTCCTTACTTAGGTCTATTTTATGCATACGTGTAGGACCATGAGTATTTCATGTCAGCTGTTACCCTCAAAGTGTGTCTTTGTAGGGAAATAGGGAAAAGACTATTGAAGAGTATTGCACATATTTTTATTTTAGGACTGTCTTGTTCCTATTTGACTGTAGAATGTTTCATTAATTTTGAAGAACCTATCCCTAAAAGAAACAAGCACTTCTTGACTGTCCATTGTTAACTTAGCAAATTAAAGGTTTATTTCCTTACCGATCACCTTGTCCGTTTTCGATATAAGACCCTCTGCTCATCAGTGCCCATTTCCTTTAAGAGGTAACTAGGGGCATGGAAAAAAAAAAAAAAGTAACTAGAGGACCTTGGGAAGCAGCTTTGTGGCAGCAGGAAATGTTGACCTGACAGCGGGAAATGAGGACTGGACATGGTTTCCCAGACAGGAAAGAGAGGAGATTGTGTGAGTGCATGGGATGCGCAGGCATGACATTCTCCTGCTGGGAGATGTTCTGAGGAAGTGTCTGTATTAACCGAGCAGTGTAGGTCAGTGTGCATAGTAAAATGCACCTGGAAACGTCTTATGGTGAGCGCTGTAAAACATCTTCAGACTCTTACCACCGCTCACCGATGTGTGCCCAGTAATGTCAGTTCTGTGTGGGCTGGTGTTTGCAAGATGGCCCGAGCATTTCTCTGATATTAAGATGGGTGATCTTGTGGGGGCCACCCAAACCTTTTTCATGTGTGACCATGATTATGTGCTTCAGTTCTTGCCGTTGCCTGTTTCCCTCTTTTGCTAGGAGCAGCGTTTACATTTCCTAAAGCAGCAGGAACGCCGCCAGCAGCAGTCTATTTCTGAGAATGAGAAGCTTCAGAAATTGAAAGAACGAGTCGAAGCCCAGGAAAATAAGCTGAAGAAAATTCGTGCCATGAGAGGACAAGTAGACTACAGCAAAATTATGAACGGCAATCTGTGTACGCTTGCGCGGCCTTGCTCAGCACCCACACTCGGGCATGGATAAAATGAAAGAGTCCAGCTCCGGACACTTTCACACAGACCCGTGTCAGATCTTGCTATAGGAAGTGCACTGAAGTTTTGCTTTGTTACCTGCATCTAAAAGGACGGGGTCAGTTAGGTTAAATGGTCTGGGAAGGTCCTTGGTTACATCTGTAATTTATTAGCTGCGCTCTGGACTGGGGCTGCAGGGCTACAAGACTGTGCTCATTATGAGGGTCTGTTTTAATTGAACAGCTTAAACTTCTTCTGGGTAGTAAGATAAACCATACAAATGCTCACTTTTTATTTTTGTGTGTGTGGATTCTTTGTTTTATTATCAATTCAGTTAGAGCCTACTTTGTGTTCTGTTGACAAGCAAGACAGACTTGGATTCCTGCCCTTACAAAGCCTTTGCTCTGTGGGTGCCCTGAGATTCCTAAGTGGCCTGGCCAAGCTAGCCTTTGGACGGGTTGCCCTAACTAAACAATATTCAGTAGTTAGTGCACATAGAGTTTGCCGTGTGGGCCGTCACATCATGTGTTCCAGAGGCTTGTTGAAAAGTGTGTTGGATTATGCATATCACAGTTCTCCCCCCAAGGTCTGGCACTAGATGACGTTAGAGCCGAGTTGAATGTATAGAAATGAAGACGAAATCACAAAGCCAAAATAACAAAATACCACGGAAAAAAGAGTATCAACTAAATGATGTTTTTTTCTTTATTGCTGGGAAATTATAGCTGCTGAAATAGAAAGGTTCAGCGCCATGTTCCAGGAAAAGAAGCAAGAAGTACAGACTGCGATTTTACGAGTTGATCAGCTCAGTCAGCAACTGGAAGATTTAAAGAGAGGCAAGCTGAGCGGGCTGCAGTCGTACAGTGGCAAGCTGGCGGGGCCGGCAGCGGCAGAGTTGAAGAGACTGTGCCAGGAGCTACAGGTGACTCGCTGGGTCCAGGGACCGTGACGTGAAACATCTCTCAGGCTTTCTTCCCAGCGTGGGCGGAAGCCTCGGAAACTGGAAACAAGTGAATGGATCCTAGGGTAATAGTAGGCACAAACTGTACTCAGCCCAAAGAATTTTTAAAACAGTTTTGAGATATAATTCATATAGCATACAATTCATCCATATAACATGTACAATTAAGTGGTTTTTAGTATCTTCATAGAGTTGTGCATCCACCACCACGATTAACTTTAGAACATCTTCACCCCCAAAAGAAGCCACGTGCCTCTTTGCCATCACCCCACACCCCCACCCCTAAGCAACCATGAATCTACTTTCTGTCTCTCTGGCTTTGCCTATTCTGGAAATTTCATATGAGCAAATCTTGCAATATGTCATTTTTTGTGACTGGCATCTTTCACCTAGCATGTTTTTGGTACAGAAATTCAGTACAGAATCTAATTGGCAATGTAATGAACTAGGAAAAAATTAAGCTTTAGATGATATTCAGGGTTTCTGTGTACACTGTGTTTTGATGAGCTAGATGCCTGTTGTTACATCCTGTGTCCCACTCTGCTGGGGCTGCTCTAACAGACCTCCACAGCCCAGGGGACTGAAGCACAGATGTTGTTTTCTCACATCTCCAGGGTCTGGGAGTCCCAAGACTGGGTTCCTGGTAAGAGTCTGCTTTCTGGCTTCTGGCTGTGTCCCCACAGCTTGGTCTCTCTCCTTCTTCTTACAAGGGCACTAACCCCATCATGGGGGCCCTACCCCCAGTACCTCATCTCAGCCTAATCACCCCAAAGGCCCCACCTCCCGATACCAGCACCTTAAAGTTTAGGGCAACATACGGATTTCAGGGAGGACACAAACATTCAGTCCAGAACAGCCCTCAGGATTTCCATTTCTCAGAAGTTACCATTCAGCAGGTGATTTTTCAAGCCAGAAACAAGTTTTGCAGTTCTGTTAGCACTTGCCAGAAATATTTTTATATCATTTTATGAAATGAAAATATTTAATTACAGAGAATAAAATTGCTTTTATTGCTGTTAAGTTCTCTAACATAAATGCATAGAAATAAAAGAACTTAAGACTTCTTGTACGCTTTAAGCAGTTGTTAAAAGTGCAGAGTTCTTAAGGATATTTGGGTGATGAATGTGGTATATTTACCCATATATACCCATACCCAAGCTTCCTGACTGTAGTCTAGACCTCACAGTGCATGTTGCCTCCTGTCTGGTGCACGCGTGCAAGTGTGTGTTCCTAGCACACGTGTGCACCTGGGAGAGCCTGACAAGACTTAACCTCGTGTGTACGGTGCACACTGGCGCCTTCTGTGGGTCATTTTTTTAAGTGCTGGCTACACCCACTAGCATGATACCCATACGTTCTAGCGGGCGAGCGAGGCCATCCTTCGTGAGTTCGTGCTGTCTCCACATAAGGTGCTCGTTCAGTGGACTGTGTGGGGCGGACACGTGTGCTCGGGTCCCTAGAGGACGTGCTCCAGGCGGGTGTCTGTGACACGCCATTCCCAGGGGCCATAGTCGTGGTCTCTCACAGTCATCACTCGCACAGTCACTCCAGATGCTCTGAAGAATGTGTGTGTTTGCAGATGTAGAAGAACTCTGTTCTGGCCTCATCCATGCTGTACCTGTAAACTATTCAGTGCATGGGTGACAGTGCATATATATAAACACGCATAAGTACTTGATACTACTTTTTTCTTTTTTTTACTTTTCCTGGAAATGAGCATTTGACTGTTTAATGCAAATCATAAAAGTTGTATTTTTTAATTTGCAGATTCGTAACCAGCTTAACCAGGAACAGACTTCAAAGCTCCAGCAGCAGAAGGAACTCTTGAATAAACGCAACATGGAGGTGGCCGTGATGGACAAGCGGATCAATGAGCTGCGTGAACGTCTCTATGGGAAGAAAATTCAGGCATGTGAGAAAGAAAATAGTTGTGTGAGATAAACTAAAAATGATTCAGCATGCAATTGCACAGCTTCACTATAATGGCATTTTGCTCCCCCCATTTGCCACAGTTGATGAAACGTACATTGGCCATAAACTGTAAAAACCATAAAAAAAAAATGACAGTAACAAAAAGCTCTCTTTCCAAAGCCACATTTGTTTCCTGGTGGATGGAATGCAAACCATCCCTGTCCACAGCCACAGCTGGTGTTCCCTGACCACCCCCCAACTCCCGTGCAGTTCTGTCCCCTCCCTGGGGAAGGCTCTGGCTCTGGCGTCGCAGCGCCCGGCTTGGTCCCACTCTGCCCCTGTAAGCTGGGCCACGTGGGCACATTCCCTGACCTGTGTGCAGACGCATGTCCTTGCTGTCAATTGGTATGTCCTGTCTGCCCCAACAGTCATCATGTGGATTCTTAGGATAACCCATGTGGAAGGGCTTTGTAAACTTCCAAGCAAAGTGCCATGTAAAGGGTTAGTGCTTTTTTTTTTTTTTTAATTTCAGTTAATTAACATATAGTGTATTATTTGTTTTGGGGTATAGGTCTGTGATTCATCAGTCTTATATAATACCCAGTGCTCATTACAACACGTACTCTCCCCAGTGTCCATCACCTAATTACCTCATCCCTCCGTTCCCCTCCCCTCCAGCAACCCTCAGTTTGTTAAGCAAAATAAGTCAATCAGAGAAAGACAGTTATCATAAGATCTCACTGATATGGGGAATATAAGAAACAAGACAGAGGATCATAGAGGAAGAGAAGAAGAAAATGAAACAAGACAAAACCAGAGAGGGAGACAAACCATGAGACACTCTTAATCAGCAGAAATAAACTGAGGGTTAGTGCTTTTTAAAAACCTTTATTTGCTATTTTGACTTTCAAAGGTAATAAATACTCTGAAAAATTAAAACAGTACAGAAACACTTGAAGGAAAGTGTGAAAGTCCCTTCCACCCTGTTGTCATTCTCCAAGGATGATAATTTTAATGATTCCAGTCTTTTGCTTAATACAGACAACAAAGTATTTAATTTTTCATTGAAAATGGAACTGTAACAATGGTATCATTCACACTGTTCTCCTCATCTTTTGTTTTAACTGCAACATGGGTATCTTCCCGGGTCATTACTTCGCTCCTTTTGAAGCGTTGGTAGAACACGCATGTCCCAGGGCCTGTGGCCCCTTTCCCCAACCCCCTTGCCAGGCCGGGTGCCCCCAAGTCCTGCCATTGCTCTTGGCACTTCAGTGAGCACAAGCGTCCCGAGAGCCTGTGGGAGAAGGGACCCCTGTGCACCGAGTCTGGCTGGATGTGGCACCTGGCCTGCCTTCCACGGGTGGCATCAGGGTTTGAAGGAAGCAGTGCCTGCATGCGGAGCTTGAGTGAAAAGAGTGGGCCGTCAGCTCGCCGGGACGCTGCTCCCCAAGTGCCCTCATCCACTCTCCGTAATTAGTGCTTTCCCAGTGTGACAAGTGGCCTCTTGTCAGCTGCTGCCATACTGAAGGCAACTCTCGGGAGGCGAGTGTGGGCGTCTGGGGCTTGGCTGGGGCGGGGGGCGGTCAGGCGGCGCCTGCCCCTTGTTGGAGTGTCCTCGGTGGTGGCAGGTGACAGCTCTTATTTACAAATCGGTCTCTTCTTGTCGTTCTTAACCAGAGGATCAGTGGCTAATCTGGATAACTCTGTGTTTTCAAATAATCGTTTTCCTTTCTTCTCTCAATGAGCAACACGGAGACCGTGGGAGAGGAAGTGTACGTGCTCTCCATGCTTGCTCACCCAGCACTCTCTAGTTGTGCTCCGTCAGTCGGGCTCTCTGGGGAAATAGAACGAGGGTGTATGTGGAGAGTGATTGACTGATGCATAGATTGACTTGAAGTGACGGGCATGATTGTGGAGGCTGCACACCTGAAATCTGCAGCCTGGACACACGGGGGACTGTGGATGCCACTGCTCCCGTCGGCAAGTCGTCTGCAGGCCCACCTCCCTCTTTGTCCAGGCACCTCAGTCTTTGTCTCTCAAGTCCTTCCACCGATGGCAGGCAGCCTGCCTGCATTGTGGAGGGCGGTCTGCTTCATTCAGAGTCTCTTGATTTAAATGTCAGTCTCATCTAAAACATACCTTCATGGCAGCCTCCAGACACGTTTGACCAAATATCTGGGTACCATGGCCTCACCAAGTTGACACACAAAATTAAGCATCACAGATAGCTAGGTAGATGTTCCTTCTTGCCTTCCACCTGGTACTTCAGGTGATCTTGAAGAAATTGGTGCCTCTGCATAAATGTGTCTCCACCTAAAGGTCCTAGGCACCTGTGGGCAGTTGTGAAAGTCCTGGACCCTGTCCCCAAAATGATACACGCTCATGTATGCAGAATTCTGCAAACAATTATAAGAGGTTATGGATCTCTCACAGCCTATCTCAGGGCCCCTAAGGTGTCAGTGATTCTCCAGTTAGATCCCTGTTATGGACCCTCGTGTTGGGCAGCATCACGTGATCACTGTCATTGGCTGTAGTGTGGTGTCCTTGCTGAGAACAGCAGAGCTGTCTTCAGGGCTGACCAGAGCCGGCATGGCTTGTTCAGTCCTTACAAGAAGCCGTATCATGACTTTCCACACACGGGCACAGAGGTTTAGAGACACTAAGTCACTTGCACTTGCCCAGGGCAGCACGGTGAGTAAGTGTTGCAAAGCAGGATTTGAAGCCAGGCTCAGAGCCCAGGCTTTGACCAATGCCTCTGCCCACCTAGGGGAGGGAGGGCATCCCCTAGGGAAGAGGGCTTCGTGGAGGTGTCCTGGGAAGCTGTTCGGTTCTGCCGTCAGCTCCTGTCTCTCCTCGCTCACAGATGGGTAGGAGATGTCAAAGAGAGAATCACTCATACGGGGCTGTGGGTTGTGGCCTTTCTTTCAATGCTTGCCCTTTCTAGATACTGATTTTTCAGGATGATGGAGCTTCTTAAGGGCACATGATCTAGTGAGTGCTTCACATGAGAGCAGACTGTCACACTAGGTTTGTGATTTCTTTTCATTTCGAACCTTAACTCTCATTTCTTCCCGTTCTATAGCTGAGCCGTGTGAATGGCACGTCGTCCCCGCAGTCGCCGCTGAGCACCCCTGGCAGGGTTGCTGCGGTGGGGCCTTACATCCAGGTGCCCAGCGCTGGCAGCTACTCTGTCCCAGGGGACCCCATAAAGCCCCAGTCTCTTACTATTGCCTCAAGTGCTGCCCATGGAAGATCCAAATCTGGTGAGTGGCCCGGGTCCTCGTCTTGGGGGAGAGCCATGGAGGTCAGCAGCCTCGGAGGAGTACCCCACAGCACCCCAGGCTCTGCCCACCCTCTGTCTCCCCCGAGGCACTTTGTCTTCTGGCCAGTTTGGGACATGTGTGCCACCACAGTAATAGTATGACCCTAAAGTGAGGACAGATTCTCTTTATTGAGCTGAACGTCTTTACTGTGTGCTTTTCAAAACACGAATTACTTAAGGCCAGATCCTCTCGTGCCACGGGTTTTGTTTCCCCGTGAGGGCACTCGAGCCTGCTGCCCCCCCCCTCCCCAGGCAGAGGGGCGGCCTGTCCGGAAACAGTGCACGAGGGCCGGTCTTCCCTTTCCCCACCCGGCTGGTCGTAATCGATGCACAGGTCGATAGAGCGTGGCGGTGGCCGTCAGCCACGCCGAACCGTGTGGTGTGACCAGCACCGGGCTGGCGTGTAGCTCTCCTGATGGGATGCTTCCCAACCAAGGGCAGGTCAGGCTCTCCAGGAGAGTCTGCTCTCCTTTCTCAGAAGAAGGCGGCTGTTTTCTAAACATTGAGAAGGCAGCGCTTCTCTGCCGTAAGACTTTCTTGCTGCTGGGCTGCCGCATTTCCCCACGGCACACGGAATCCCGGAGCACGGTACCGACAGGACGGCGTCCCTTCCCTTAGGACACTGAACTGGGCTCTGCTGAGGGCTGATGTCAGGACTGGTGATAGATCTGTGCAGGCTTCTGTTTGCTCGTGGGCTCTTACCCAGCACCTGGTCTGAGCAGCAGCAGGTCTGCCACACCTGCTGGGGGGTGCGGGGTTGGTTCTGACCCAGGCAGGATAGGCCACACACCTGGGCTCCGCTCCTTCCATGGCCATGTCGCGGCAGCCACCCGGAGCATGTGCTTGGTGCGAATCTCCAAGGGCAGCTTTCTTAGGGAAGCTGTTATTTATAGCTTGAACCACCCTACAGTGGGAGTAGATACTTGTCTGTTTCCAGTGGCAGGTAATTAGCACAGCCAGTCCTCTTCTGCTGACTTCACTTCAAACACTTCCTGGGCCGAGGACATCTCCCCTCTTCTCTGTGGGTGTGTGCTGGGCCGCCTCACAGGGGTCGCTGGGAGAAGACACCCTTACAGGACCCGGAGAATGTGTCCCGCAGAAGTTCAACTGCAGCCTAGGTCTTTCCACCACCATGCAAGGTGACTGGACACAAGCAAGCTGTGCCCCCCACACTGGGGGCAGAATCTTGGCCCCGGCGTGGAGCTGGGAGGAGAAATCTCCCCGTGGGGACTCTGACTTACACTGTCGACTGTCCTTCTGGTTCCGTGTCACACAGATGGCCGTGGGAAGCCCAAAATGACCAGCTTGTGGACAGTGTCAGACCTTGACATCGGGCCTGACTGCAGCTCCTCAGGGCGCTCTGCAAACCCGTTTGCAAACCGTATGTTGGCTGGCAGGCCCGGTGGGGCGCTCTGGCCCTCTCTGATACTGCTAACCCAGCAATCATTTGTTTTCCAAACTGACAAAGGTCTGCTCATCCCATCTAGGCTTGAAAAAAATGCCACACTTCCTTCAACAGACAGGTGTGAAGTTTGGGCTGGGCCACACACACCAGCTCCTCCTCAGGAAGGGTTTGACAGATGCCGGCACAGCAAGGGGTTTTTGGTTTCGTTTTTGAGAAATTAAGATGATTTTCTGAGTTCATTAAAGACTTTAGATTTAGCTCCTATACAAGAACCTCCCATCATACTTGAAGATTACTGTCCCTTTATAATTCTTTTTTTTTTTTTAAAGATTTTATTTATTTGAGAGAGAGAGAATGAGAGACAGAGAGCATGAGAGGGAGGAAGGTCAGAGGGAGA